AGAAATATTATTGAAGGTGGAGGTTTAGTTTAGTACACAAGACTCTGCATAATACTGAGCAGAACCTGTGTGAATAAGGGCTTTAATAAAGAGCACTCCTTTCCTGCTCCCCCATCCCCAAACTTTACAGGAATACTATGACCTCTCCTTCATACTGTGCACCTGGCCAGTTACTTATGCTTTCATATTTCAAAACTGGATTGCCATAATGCATTCCGCTTGGAACTATGCTCTTAGGTAAACAAAATTAGTGGAAGACACAGTGGTCTATTTATTAAACATAGCTATATGCTGAGCACAAATTGCAGTGGCGTTTGAAGATCTGTTCTAGCTGCAACTGAAACTATTGGTTTTCCTCAAAAAGACCCTAATTGATTTGGCACCTGGTTACCTGACAGATTGTCACTATATCTCCATGTCTTTCTAGCACAGCTAAGATATGTGGAGGTCTTCAAGCTGGAGCTCCCTCAATGTAAATGATGAAGTTGCAGCAAGGAGTCTTCATTAAGGGCCTGCAAACTTTGAAATTCATTCCTCTCTTACCCAATTATGCCCAATTCTGTTAAGATTCACAGAAAGCTCCATCTTTTCTCTCCAGTATTTACTTTTAAGGTGAGCAGAGTCAGAATGACCATTTGCGTGTGAATAGCATGAAGAGGTTTTTTAGTATTTTTCCCTATATAAATCAAGGAAAACTTTGCATATTCTAAAACCTGGATTGATTCTAAATTAGCCATTATTTTAGATGAGATTCACATGCACTTAACAAAATTAGATTGAAGCCAGTTCCCAAAATAATCTAAAAACTTGAGTGAACTTGTCTCTGATAATGAAATACAGGAGTCAGAGAACAATGAACTGGCGCAACCAAGGAAGCAACTCTGGTTTCAAAAGCAACACAGGGACCAACACACCTGACTTTGCTGTGCGCTCAACTGTGTTGTCACTCTTCTCCACATCCTTTTTCACTGCTGCAACATATCTGATTTGAAATTGGTTGAGCCATCTAGAATATATATTATGAGAAGTAGATTACAGAAGGGTGACCAAGTTCTCATCTGAGGGATGAGGAGTTGGTTTTATAGATCTCGTGTGTGCGTGCGCATGTGTGTGCGTGCGTGCGTGCACGCGCGCACGTGCATGTGCGCGTGCGTAAATCCTTATTTTAAGAAAAAATGTTTAGAGCCAAGGTCCGGGACTCTGAGCCCTGTACTGTTATCCCTGTCTCTGCCACAGATTTACTTCACAACCTTTGGCAGCTTCACTTAAATTTCTCCCTCTGTGCCACAAGTTTGGCAGATATGATAGTTCTTCCATACGAAGTAGGGAAAGTAAATTTTGATGTGTTGAAAGCACCAACCTATATGATTTAAAGCATTAAAACAAAAGACAAAAATCTCTGCTCCAAACACTTTTCTAACTAAAAAGTAAGTTTTTGGTGGATGCATATTAACCTAAATAATAGCATTTTAAATACTAATCAAGAGGAACAAATACTAAGAATCTGAGTGCCAAAAGCCAGGAAAAGTCAAGCGCTAGAGTTCAATATTACATGGCCTCTGGGGTGTGGGATACATATACTAATGACTACATTAATGTTTGGCTGTAATCCATTGTTTTCAATATTTATAAATGAATCTCTAATTACCACTTCAAAAAAAGACAAAATATGCTAGAGAGGTGCCTCTCATACAGTGCCACTTTCCCATCCTTTTTTTCTTTTCATTACTGTTAATGACTAAGAAGAGTGTAGTATGGTGGTAAAGGCAAGGTTTAAAATCCAGGAGACAACTCATCTTTACTGTGTTGTGATTAAATAAAATATTTAGATAGTTCTTTACAAAGCAATTTTCTTCTAAGAAACTCCAGCTTGTGTTAAGTCCAGCTCTTACCAGCAACTGTGTATTGTTTCTGTCAGACCAGCAGAGGGAGCCAACAGATAAAAAACAGAAAGATTTTTCCACTTGTAAAGTTGAACAGGGTGTATGTATGTTCAGACTTTGTAAACTTTACAGCATGTCTTAGCAATTTGAAAAAGAACCCCTCTGTGTTCCTATATAAACCGGGGAAAACTTTGCATGTTCTACAACCTGGATTGGTTTTAATTATTTTAGATGAGATGCACACGCACTTAACTAAATGAAATTGAAGCCAGTTCCCAAAATAACCTAAAAACTTGGGTGAACTTGGCTTTGATTATGAAATACAGGAGTCAGAGAAAGATGAACAGCAACTCTGGTTTCAAAAGTGACACAAGGTCCAACACACCTGGCTTTGCTCCAGAATATAATACATGATTTGTTTTTGAAAAGCAGAATAAAGAAAAAATATTTTTCCATAGTTATGACTGCATAGAGAAGGGACAGAGCCTAGTATTTAGGTGGCTCATCCTCACTTTCTTGCTCAACTAAATTTAAACCCTAGCTGTTGCTGATGTCTGGTCTCTATGAAGGGATCTATAATTTCTAAAAGAGTTAAAGAGTCTCCAAGGCTATAAAATAGAAAGAGAGAAACCAGAAGCAGCTAGCAGACATCAAAATTCCCTTACAAAAGGTTAACTTGAATAGTGAAACATCAAGAACATTAAAAAGGAGGGACAACTGTTAATACTTTTAGAGTAAAAAACAATAAGCCATTAAGTCATCTGACTCCTTGCCTGAATAGTCATGTAACAGCTGCTGCACTATGGAGAAAGAATCAAAGCAGAGTGCTTCTATTCCATTCAAAAATTGACTTCCCAATTTATATGCTTCATATTTGCCAACTTCCCACACCCCCAATTTTGGAGGGCTGATTTTGTGGGGGGGGGGGAATGCATGTTGCATGAAAGAAAATATAGCATCCAGTACAAGAGAAGAATG